AAAATAGTTTCCTCTTTATTAATTTGTACAGAACTGTAACAGTACAGATCGATAAATTTAAGGACTCATTTCTACCTTTTCATTCTTGAGTTCAACTAAAATGCATATGGTATGTTTAAATTTCTAACCACAAATTCACATGTGCAACAAGGCATATTTTTGCATATTTCATCAGTTCTCCATCTTGGGTACATGGTAGAATTAATTAGCTGGGGGTCCTTTTTTTTAATCCTTACCCAAGGATATGTTTTTATTGATTTAATAGAGAGAGGTACTTTTATAAAGAGAGGGAGAGAGGGAGAAACATCAGTGCAAGAGAGAAACATTGATCAGTTGCTTTTCCCACATGCCCCGACTGGGGATTGAACCTACAAGCTAGGTATGTGCCCTGACTGGGAATCGAACCTACCACCTTTTGGTGCATGGGACAATGCTCCAAGAAACTGAGCCACACTGGCCTGGGCTGGGGGTGCTTTTTAAAAAGAACAGTGTTTGGGCCACTTTTTCCTTGGTGGGCAAGGACCTGAGAAGATTCACAAGCAAAGATGGGATGTACAGAGGAGGATGAGAGATGCAGCTAGAGTCTATGCTGTCCCAGTGGCCCACACTGACCACTCATATTTGTGGCACATGCTGGTTCTTGGCCAAGCCTTACCTACCCCACTGGGAGTTTGGCACCATGAGCCCAGACCACCAGCTCTGTGATGAAGGAGAGGAGCCATCCTAGAAGGCCCCTCAGAAATGATTTCCCACCTGGAGAGCTGGTGCTTGAATTTCCCCAATTGGATAGCTGTACCTCTTCTAGAAGCTTTATTTTCTTAAAAAATATAAATACCTCTGAGGAATTACACTGGTACCTAAAGAAATCCAAAACATTAATTTGAAAAGATATATGCATCCCTTTGTTCAATACAGCACTATTTATAATAGCCAAGATATGGAAGCAACCTAAGTGTCCATCAATAGATGAATGGGTAAAGAAGCTGTGGGACATATATAGAATGGAATGTTACTCAGTCATAAAAAAGAATGAAATTCTTACCATTTGTGACAACATGGATGGAAATAAAGGGTATTATGCTCTGTGAAATAAGTCAGACAGAGAAAGACAAATACCATATGATTTCACTTACATATGGAATCTAAAGAACAATATAAACAATCAAACAGAATTGAAACAGATTCATAGACACAGAAAACAGACTGATGGTTGCAAGTGGGGAGGGGGGTTGGAGGGCTGGGTGAAAAAGGTGAAGGGATTAAGAAGTGCAAATTGGCAGTTACAAAATAGTCATGGGGATGTAAAGTACAGCACAGGGAGTATAGTCAATAATATCGTAATAACTAGGTATGGTGCCAGGTGGGTACTAGACCTCCCGAAGTATTGCTTCATAACTTATATAAGTGTCTAACCACTATACTGTACACCTGAAACTAATATAATATTGAATGTCAACTGTAATTAAAATTTTTTTTTTAATTTTTAGTTATTGGTTATTTGTATCATTTGGGACTCATTTCCTGATGGCAGGTTTTTGAAAGAAGGTAGCAAGGTGAATGTGTGAGACTTGGATTCTCTAACGAGATCTAGAAAAGGTACCGAAGAGAGGCTTATGTGTGGCCCTCTCCAGGGAACATCCCTCAGCAAGGGCCTAAGCTCACTCCTGCCAGCCTGCCGCCTCCAAGTAGAATCAGTTCTTTCTTTAAATATCACTTAACAGTTACAGAACGACTGTAATTCTGTGCAGGATGCTCCCTCATCTAGTTCTGACCTCTCTGCGATCTACAAACTTCTTCTTTGCAGCGGGATTCATGCCAGGAGGACCCAACAAGAAGCAAACAGAAAAATTCATGAAACACAAGTGGGAAAAAGCATCACCGAATCCACAGAGTGATGGGCCTAGGTCAATGTGGCCATCCTCTGTATGCTGTTCACACAATGTGTGCATGTCACTCTGGCTCGGATCATAAGCTCCTGTCCTCAGAGGGGCTGGCCGTGGCTTGTCCCGTAGAGCACTTAGCACGTTCTGAGTGTCGAGGATGTGAGCTTATCTTCGGACGACGTCTCCTAGGAGGAAGGTGTTATGCAAATTCTGGTATTGTTCTTCTTTTAGCACAAATTTATAATTGACTTTCTGTTAAACATTGCAGCAAGTTAAATTAATTCAGTATGATTACAGTCATTAAACAAATGCCTGGTAATGACTGCCTTCCTATTTTAGCCTCCCTCAACTCACTGGGGTAATACCATATAAGGCTTCCACTCCATTGTTAGATTAATTGGGATGCGAAACCTGCGTTTTGCAATAGAGCATGTACACTGCTTTGTCGCAACTGGACCATGATTGAAGGCTACTGCTGGGCTAATTTACCTTCCAGTTTTTCCTATTGCTCTTGCCATCCCATTAGGTACAATTTACTAGCTCCTTATGGCATACAAGTAGCTTAAGGCAATTTCGACCTGTTAACAAAAAGAAGTGTGCTTTTAAAACCCAAACCGTCTCCCACCATTTCTCTTCTGACGCTGAACCTAACCCAAAACGACAGGGACAGCGATGATCTTAACCTGTTTTCCCGTTGGCGTGGTCGCCCCACGAATTACCTACCATCTTAGCAAGCAGGGCAGAAATAGTTAAGTCCTGAGGCTGTGAGTTAAAAACTCTGCCCGAGAGGAAAGCCGTGGGAGACGTGCCGGCCAGGTGTGCAGGATGGCTGCCAGGTGTGCAGGGAGAGAGGCTGCCCTCCTTAAGCCGCGCTTCACAGTCCAGGTCATCTGTCTGCTGCCACCTTAGCAAATGGCCTGCTTCTGTAGAGCACGCTGAATGATAACACCCTGCACGTCAGCTGACTGCCGTGTCATAGCTGCTGCTCTCTGCAGCATCGCCACTGCCAGAGCTCCGGTCCTGCAGCTTCCTGGGCGCAGTGCGGCAGAGCCCAGGCAGCCGGCTAGGCACGAGCGACAGAGTCTTAAAGCGCTCTTCTCCTGCTACCACTTAGCCTTTCTTACGTGAGGAGCCTTTACCTTTGCGCAGCCGGCAGCAGAGGAGCAGTCTGAATGTACACGCCGGCTTCTAACCGGGCAGCGTGAATTTTCAGCAGAGCAGGTACTGCTCGGAGCCTCGGAGCCAAGCCGCCCGGCGGGGCGCGCGGCCGGTTTCCCCACCGTCGGTGGTGGGAATGGTTGGGGGGGGCGGTGTGTGTGCTTCTCCACCACGCGGCCAGACCTGCAGGCATAAAGGCTAGGACAAAGGAGACGGTGCCGGTCATGGCGGGTCTGGCCGGGGCCTGTGCAGGCGACCCGGCCGAAGGGCCGCTGCGAGACTCTCCCAGCGCACAGCTAAGGCTGGTCCCCGGGGCTGGCGCAGAGCCCCAGCCCTCAGTTAGAACATGGTTTCAAGGAGAAGCCAGGCTCACTGACCTAAATCAATCCCAGTCCTCTCTGGATGGCGGGGGACAGCTGTCGACTTAGCAGCGACACAACCAGCCATCGAGTGAAGAATCGCTGGGACGGCAGCCTGGGTGCAGGAGGAGCCTGGGAGAAGGGCAGTGTCATGTCGGCCATCCGAGGGCTTCTTCTCGTTTTCCTAAATAATCGTGCTCGCTAAGTATACAGTTGCCTGGATTAGTCTGCCTTCCATGCAGGCTTCGTCTGCTCTGGCTGCAAATCAGGGTGCCAGGCGAGCGAGCCTGCTTTAGGACCGGCTCCTTGCTGCGCCACTAGGATGGGTCACGCTGACAACAAAGAAGGAAGCAGGCAGCTCCACTTCTCTCGTGATGTTGGCGGAACCTAACTCTTCTTCGCAGTGTGTGTGTGTGTGTGTGTGTGTGTTAATTCATCTGATCGAACAGCCTCACAGATATCATCATGGATGTGGTTTTAATGATTTGGAAAAACAGCCAGCCTGTGGAGACAGCGATTCGAGGCTGCAGCACACTTAGGTTATTGCCAATCCGAGATACTTTGGTTTGTGAAGCCGAGCCCTAAGGGAGGAGCTGGGTAACTGAGGAGGAGATCCTAGATAAAGAAATAAAAACGACAAGCGTAATGGAGGCTCTCTGAAGGGACTGTCAGAGCATCCGTTCATGGATGGCAATTTCGCCAGGCTGAGACTGAATAATTCATAGATTGAAATTACCCTGCTTTCACCTTTCCATTCAAACCGGCATGATCTGAATCTCTAATAAATTTTCAGGATAAAGTAAAATGCCAATTTGAATCTGAAGAGCTTTGAAAGCCAGATGCTGCCTCCCTGAATCTTTTGGTATCTTTCACAATTATCCTGTGAGAGCTGCACTTCATCACGAAGCACCATCACCAGGGAAAATGACTGTGATTACAATAGCAACAATAGAATACCATCAGATGATCTCCAATGTACCTAATTTGCTAAGACTGACTGTGTGGGCTTAGTGCCCATTGTCTGCCAGCGTGCCTGGCACCGTGGATCTACCTCTCACCGGAACAGCAGCGTGGCGGTGTGCGTGAGACCTTCCCTCGGAAAGCCCAGCAAAGAGCATCCTCCTGGGTTACAGTGTCTCTTTCGTTTGGTTTGCATTTTCGCCTACTCATTTTTTTTCCAAAGCCTGTACCCCAATGTCTGTTTGCGGACCTGGTGAGCCTGTCTTGGACTGGGGTTGACTCATTTATAATGGGAGAGCATCGTCTTGTTAATTTATACACCCTCTTTATTTTAATGTATACAAGCATGTGTTTACCAGAAGGGAGGAAAGATTCTGTGCTGGGAGAGTAGTTTTAAAATGCAGCCAAGAAGAAGGTTGTTATGTCTTTGTCTCCCTTTTGAAACCCCTGTGTGCTTTCAGGTTAGAGACCCTCTCAGGGAATTATAGCCCTGGTGTGATGTGTTAAAAACTTCTCCAACTGAGACGCAGCTCGAGAGTCACATCGGGCGAGGGCTCTCGTGCAGCCTTTATTGAAAGCATGTATGTTCGACCGAGTCATTACATGACGCTTGGGTACAGCTTCGGTTGTTTGTGTCTGCCTGCGCTGCAGCAGAGGTCTAACCTCAAGAGAACTTTTTCTCTGACAGGCTGCAGGGTTCACGTCGGGGAGTTCTGCCACCCCGAGAGAGTGGCACGGCTCGGAAAGCCTCCCTGGGAACAGACGGGAACGTCTCATAGGCACAGTGACTTCTGCAGTCACTCTCTGTCGCATGGAGACAGTGTGTGGGTCCCCACTCGTCGAGTGATTGAAGTTTGATTCTCTAAGGTAGGATTTCTGAGAGATGGCGATCGCTGGGGAGGAGGTAGGTGTGACACACACCTGTGTCCTTCTGAGAGGTTTCTGCTTGTGACCCGGAGCTCTGACAGGCTCCTTCACCTGTGCTCTGGCTTTGCCCCCTCCTGCATCCCCACAGACGCCTTTGTCAGAGGAGGTGAGTTGTGTTTCTAGTCATGGGTATAACTGATTGTGGTCTTTGTGGTCTTGTTTCGGGGGGTGTGTGCTTTTTGTGCTGTACTTTCTTTCTACCTACTTTTTATTCTCACTACTCCCAGGAAAACTAACAACTTTTTCCCCCCTGTTTTTTTCCTTTCTTTCTAAATACAAATGAAAATGTGTTATTTTGAAAAGCGATTTAACTATAGTTTTTGTTCTCTTTATCTAAATTCAAGGTTTTAATGTTTTTCAAAGGAAAGGGGAAAACAGTTTTACTTAGTAGTTTGTTTAAAAATAGTAAGCAGTTTACTAAATATCAATAATGTTACCGTGTTGTTTTCTTTAGATAGCTCACGTTTCTAATATTGAAACTATTATTCTTATCTTTCTAGAAAGAGGCTTGGCTGTTAGTGACAAAGGGCTTTTCACAAGCCCTCACTGCCTGAGTGCCAAAATGTTTTCTTTTTTATTAAAAACACACACACACATAAAAAAACCATAGCCTGGATATTCTGCAAAGGGTTTTTATAATTTCTGGCATTTTAAACCTCTTCAGTAGTTAAAGTTTGAGCAGAGTAATTAATAATCACTGAGTGAGCAAGTTGGTTTACGTGTCTGATATTTAAGTGATATAGGCATCCTAAAATTATCTAAGAATAATTAGAAATCCAGGTGTTTGTTACTTTTTGGGGACTCAGAAACTAACTGCATTCACTTGATAAGCATGGCAGATTTGAAGCTGATAGTTTTTATGATTCAAGCATTTATATTCAAGGAGTTTGTTTCATTTCTTTAGAATGTAAGTGCCATTAACACTATCATGTATTAGTACTTGCTGGCACTGAAATTCACTTGTTTTACCATAAAAAAAAGAAGAAAAATTCATCATCCAGAGCTGCTAACTTAAAAGTCCTGAACTCCAATAGTTCCCTGAAACTTAAGTATTCTTTTCAAACTCTATTTTAAGTAATTGAATGTAAATGAACATAATATTTAAAAATAAGTTCATTAGACAATTTTAATCTATTATTAACAACTCTTTCTACGAGTTATGGACATATCTTACTTATAATGCTCTAGACAAGCACAACATAGGTGCAAAAGTCTACAAGAATAGCTACAATTGCAGGTAATTTTGAAAAATAACCAACTGTGAAAGTATACTATTAGGGGTCAGTTTGGGTGGCTCTCAGACATTCATGGCTTAACACTTTTCTGTAGCTCATTATGTTTTGTTTGAGGTTTTTGTGTGTGTGGAGGGGTATGAAAGAGATAAGTAAAAATGATCTCCTCCTTCCTTATTCCAAACTCCCAATCACTGCAGAGCACTAGCTGTAGCTACAAGATGATTTAAAATTTAAAATTTAAACTCTACAACCACACTCATAGAATCCACAAGAATGCCTCGTGCTTTAAGTTAGAATGTGCAAATTTTGTCACTTAATAATTGCAATCTTTTCTGGACATTAGTGTATTTTAGATGTCATCTCGTTAGTAAGGTCCAGCTTAGAGAAAAAAGCTCTTCAGAGACAATATATGTATCTGTTAATCTCTACTTAATATTTGTTAACTAGTTAACAAATACTGTGGTGAATAGATGCATTTCACATAGTCAAATGGAACATTCATAGTTGATATGGGATTTCTCTGATTAACATATATTACAAGAGCAATGGCATATAGTATATTTCCCCCTGAGTTTTAAGTATATAGTAGCAAGACCTGCCTTTATGAAGTACCAATGTGTGTGCTATACTATACTAGACTGCCAGAGAGAAAAAGGCAGGTGAGACAAAAGAAACAGGTAAAGATAAGAGNTCCCTCCAACTTTATTCTTCTTTCTCAAGATTGCTGAGGCTACTTGGGGGTCTTTTTTTTGGTTCCATATAAATTTTTGGAATATTTTTTCTTTTCTTTTTTTTCTTCTCAAATATATCTTTATTGATTTCAGAGAGAGGAAAGGAGAAGGAGAGAGAGACAGAAACATCAATGATGAGAGTCACTGATTGAGCCCATGACCTGGGCATGTGCCCTGACTGAGAATCGAACCCCCATCGCCTGGATCCTAGGTCGACGCTCAACCACTGAGCCACACCCGGCCGGGCAATGAGCTTTTTTTTAATGGCATGATCAAAAAAGGTAGAAAATCTTGTGTCTGTGTACTGTCTTTTTAAAGAGCGGCTTCTCTCTAGTAAGAGACTCTTTCCAACAGTTTATAAAAATTTAGAAACATACAGAAAAACTGAAAAGTTGCCAGCAACCATATAACCACCACCTCGACCCTATAAATAACATTTTACTACCCCTGCTTGATCATGTATACTATAACCAACTATCCACCCCTCTGTGCCTCCATTAAAATGTCTTACTATTTTGATGTATTTCGCAGTATTGTAGATATTAGTACACTTTAGTACAAGTCATTCTACAACATTACCCCTCAGGCTATGCCTGCTGAAGTGTTTAACTAGAATTCAGTATTTGTTTACAGTGCTTTCCTTTAAGCAAAGTTTATGTATCATAAAGACAGAATTTTAAAAAACAAATACTGTTATTCCTTATGAGGCATTCACTATTTCTTTAAGATGAGTTGCTGCATGCAAACTCTCATGATCCTATGTTTTAACTTGAAAGGTACAAATTCCATGTTTACGGTGGAGGGATATGGGCCCTCCCTGGTCTCACTGCCATCGCTCAGGTAAGCCTTCACCCACAGAGCAGGGGACCACTGGCAACTAAGCATCGGTACTGGGATGGAAGAGGTGTCAGGGCATACATAATTAATTCCCAAGGTCCCTTCCCATTCTTAGAACTGGCTGTACTTTCTTCTACTACTTTGTCCAATCAGCCTTCTGTTTTCTACTTCCACCAGACTCCTAATTTTTTTCTCCAGAAAAAGAGAACAAATCTCTTCATTTTTAAAGTCATCCTATAACATTCAATTTCAGGGAAATGGTTATGGGAAGCAAAGGTGGGGATTTAAAGAATCACAAGAACTCTTAAAGGACTTAGTTTTTCTTGGTCTTAATAAAAATATAAATGAGTTAAGGATTGTCCTCTCAGCACCTCTTCATGAATTCATCTCTTGGATCTAGTCTTGTGGGTGCAATTTGTCCATTCTTCTCTTAACTGAACCCTAAGTGAAATTCCTCTGAGATTTTTATTGGTATAGCTCTTAGGAATAAGGACATTCCCCATGCTTCCAAAATCTGCTAAGTTTTGTAGACTGCAGCATCCAGTCACCAACTCTGGCCCATTGCACTTCTACCCCGTAGCTGCACAAAGCCTGCCTTTTAAGTTATACCCCTGGCCCTGACCTTGGGGTAAGGAAATTCTCAAAGCTTTCTTTCCCCGGGCTTTGGTCCAAGTGCATATGGCACTGCTTTCTAGGTGACTTCTCCCTCAGGCCATCTGCCTCTATTCAGTTCAGGGTGCTTAAAGCTTTCATTAGATATTAGATAAAGATATCATTATATACTTATGGCTGGGCCTATCTTGCTGGAATTCCACCAGTTTGCCTATTTTTATAAAGCACTAATTGGTTATAACAGATCAGTTAAGAGTTTAGGCTCTGTAAGATTTGCCATTTAACTAGTGCCTTATTCCAGGCCAAGTTACTGAACCATTAGAAGTTTCACTTCTTCAAGGATTGCTGTATTAAATTACATTGATATATTATATAATATGTAAACTGTATATAAATAAAATATGTCATATAATACATATAATTTTATCACATTTTATTCAACATAATGTATTTAGCAAAGTGCTGGGCACCTACTTGGCACTCTCTATGTGAGTGTCATCACTATCATCTGCATCATATCAACAGAAGGTGCCATCGCCATAGAACTCAGCTGGCCCTCCATCAGTTGGTGCCATCTGATAGATCCTAGCAGACTGCCCTCTCTTCCTGTGTCCAAATTTGCTTATCTTGATGGTCCTCCCGTTAAAGTCCTCTCTTTTGTTAAGGTCTAAGAATGCCCTCAGGCTTTCAGCTCAGGGTGGAACAGAGACGACCAGGAGAACTCAGTGACTAGTTAAGCTCTTCTATGTGCTTGCCCCACATTTTCCTCGTGTCCCCGTGAGACCACGCTCATTCTTTCAGAATTCTGTATTACAATATTAATAGTGGAATATGTACAAGCATAAGTTTAATTTAATTTTAACAAAAGGGGAGAAAAGGGGGTTTTCCCTTTAGGAGGGCCAAAGAGTAGCTTGGTGGAAGGTTAATTTCTACCATATTACCTTCTAACCCTTTCTATCCCATAAAACATAGCAGGTGGCTGAGGATCTACCAGAGAAATACAGTTTTCAGCAAGAGAGGCCTCTATCCTGGGCCCCCCTTTAAGAGCTGCATTTCACAGAGCCCTGCTCTGCCCCTCTGTCATTCCTTGTTACAGCCCTCCCCCTGGGACAAGAAGTCAATGGGTCGAGGGGACACGTCCACTCAGGGCCTGTGCTTCGTCCGGTTCCTGGAACGTGCTCCAGGCATCCCAGCCCTGGAGCCCTGTACGCCCCACACGCATCCCCGCACCTCCGGGGCCCGCACCGCCGGGGTGAGCGCTGTGCCGGTGAGTGCGCTCCTAGGCCTGAGAGGTGAACAGAGGAGGCTGCTGGGGAGCCGCGCCGGGTGGGTCTGAGCACCCACATGTGTAGGAGAAGCTCTCCTAATGCAAGGAAGGGCGGGGGGCGGGCAGAGGAGGGAGTCAGGCCAGAGGCAACTGTCCAAACTGCCGCCATATTCGGAGATGGAGCTCCAGAGCAGGGGAGAGGCCTAAGTTCAATTCTGGCCCCAGGAAGGTGTATTTGTCAAGGTAAGAGAGTAGAATTTATTTTATTTAGCACCAGGTTGGCTTGATTTGTACCTTTTAAATATTTAGAAATATGATATGGTGGCCTCCCTGTGTACTCTTTAAAACATTTTTAAAAAAAATCCTCACCTGAGATGTTTTTATGGATTTGAGAGAGAGAAGAATGGAGAGAGAGAGAGAGAAAAATCGATGTGAGAGAGAAACGTTGATCAGTTGCCTCCCATGTACATGCTCCGACCAGAGATCGAACCCCTGACCTAGGTATGTGTTCTGACCGAGAATTAACCTGCAACGTTTTTGGTGTATGGGACAACGCTCCAACCAACCGAGCCACCCATCCAGGGCCATTTGAACTCTTGCCCAGGCCTTGCAAAGACTGGGTAGGGCCTGCAGCTGAGCTGGGTTTTGAAGGTCTCAGTTATCCAAAAACCTGATTGGTTGGTCATTGTTGTATCAGTGGGCAAGTAAATGTTTTCCAAAGGGAAGAAGGCTGCTTAGTCACTAAAATCTAGGAAGCCCATTCTCTAGTTGAAATTTTTAATCCAAAATTTTTCTTAAAGTTAGTAAATTCTAAAATTTGAAATTTGTATTTTATATATTCATATAGAATATTCTATATGTAAAAAAGTGAAATTAGTTCTCTCTCTCTCTCTCTCTCTCTCTCTCTCTCCCTCTCTCTACCTGCATGTTAAAGCGGTAAACTGTTTTTTGTACTTAACCTAGCCGGAAAGCCAGCAGCTAGCTGGATTAGGTAGGCTACAATACGGTGAGGATTGCCACACTGAAGGATATGGATCCAAAGGCACCATTTTATTGAACTACCTAAAGACACAATTTCTTTTTCACTGCACTGAATTCAGTATTTAGTACTGAATAGGTGAGTGTAAAACAGAGAAGTTAAAAAAACTGATAACCAGTGGAAGGAGAGTCATTGTTTCATAAAATAAATTCTGGAATAAATATGATAATTTTCTCAATTGGATTACCAAAAGAAAATTCAAGGGACGAAAGAGACTCAGGAAGTATGGTGAGGGAATGTGCCTGGGGCTATGCAGGTATTTGCACACAAGAAATGACAGGCATGTTAATGTTATTTAGTCCAGCATAAAAAAGCGCCGGGAGAATACAGCAAAGTCTGGGATTTGAATCCTGATTTTGTTGCTCACTGTGTGTGATCTCTGATGAGTTTTTAACCCCTCTTTGTGTCTCAGTTTTTTCATACATAAAGCAGGGATAATCCTGCCCTCCTCATAGGGGAGGAATGAGAATTAATTTAGTTAGAGTTTGCAAAACACTAAGGAGAGTGGCTGGTGTGTAGTAGGTGCTGTAGAAGCATTTGTTAAATATCAGACTAAAAATGAAAGAAGAAATTAAAGTCCAGAAACTTGGTTGAGTTGTGCCCAATCAAGCAGTGAATTAATAAAAGATCCACCATCCAACACAGATATTAAAATATCAGGCCTATTTCTGAAAGTTGCACATTGCTTAAGAGTTGATTTTAAGCAAAATAAAATACATTATTTGTCTCATTATATCTCTAAAGAAGACGCAAAAAGAACTTAAAAAATTACTACAGTACAGTTGTCCTGATAAATGTTTAAGGTTTTGCCCTTCCCCTTCTGTGTTTTATATTTTGCTTTTCACATTGTTACTCCTTTTTAAAGTTAACTTCTCATTCCCAGACATAAGTCTGTCAAGATAGGTCACTACTTCACTTGAGCAAGTTCACTACTCCAGCAAAAGGGCCACCCCCACCCCCACCACACACCATCATTGCACTGTGCACTGTCATTACAAAGTAATGCAAATAAATGAAAGAAGCTGGGAAAATGCACAGAAGTATAAAAAGAAAAATAAACCTCAGTCATAATTCCACTACTCTTGAGACAAGCACTGGCTGTCAATGATATAATCGTGTGTGTTGTGTGTTTAAGTAAATTCTAAAGAGTGGACTTAAATTGCAACCTACTTTTTAAAAAATGAGTATATCAAGAGTATGCTTCCAAATCACTGAAAGAGTTTTTAAAAACAGAGCCCTTTAATTGCTGTATATTATTTCAATATATAACCCCATTAGTGGGACATTTAAGCTTTTCCAGATTTTCACTATTATAGGTGTAATTGAATGACATTAAAAATTTAATGTGGCAGAATACATTGAGAATAAACTGGGCTTGTTTTCTAGGCCATAGGTTCATTATAAAATAACAGGTCTTTCTTGTCTTCTCTTCCCAAGGACCAGGATGGGGCTCTGAGTCCTGGCCATCTGGACTTCCCTTGGCCCCAGGGGCAAGCCAACAGGCCCTTGTCTTCAAAAGTGTGTGCTCAGGGAGGTGAGTCGATTGGGAGTTCTAGATAGGGAAGGGTTAGAGGCTTTGAACTTCTAGAATCAGGAGGAAAAAGGGCCAGTCTCAAAGCAGAAAGATGGGATATTCCCATACTGGGAATGAGGTGGGGATCTTTCAGGATGGAAGAAACCCTCAGGAGGTGGGGGTGGCAGGAAGCTGGTGGAGGCTTCCCAGCGGTGGCAGAACTTAGAATGGGAGAATGTGGGATGCCTTGGGGCTACTTTGCATTGCAGTGAGTGAGTTTGGTCCAGAAGGTTTGATATCACCAGTAGAAGTGCTAACCTTTATAAATACGTGTTAAGTCTAGAGAGCAAAACTCCTAAGAACTACTCTTTCTAAATCCTTATACTGCTTAAGCCCAAGGGTTCCCCACAATCCTGCAATCCCAAGGAATTGAAGAGGAAAACTAGAACTCAGAAAAATGATTGCACTTCCCACCAACCCTAGCTGGTGGTAATAAACCAGACTTAATTTGTGTAGAAAGAGTACATGGTGCCCAAGCGTCAGGTGGACTTCACTACTCTTGTATGCTTGAGTATGTGCTTAGGATAAAGCTTTAGAAATGAAATCACTAAGAACAGAGTCCAAATAGTTTAAGACCTTTTGTTTTCTGTATTTTTCAAGTCCACTGATTCTTCTATTTATTATCCCTCACAAAAGATTGTTAGGGAAAAACAGGAAAAGCAAAATTAGCCAAGCTAATTGATCATTAAGTGTAATCCATCATTAAGTATAAATTTTCATTTATAATCTACCCATCCCAGAAGACTTCAATTACTGGATTACTTTATTAATAAACCCAAGAGATAGTTAATCATTATGTAAGCAAATAACATACATTTCCACATGAGAAATTGACATATACTTTATCAGTTACGCAGACTGGCAAGAAATTATCTAAAAAATGGGAAACAGATAGGCACTAGAATAAGTAGAAGTTGACTTGAACCTGCCCCTCAAAACCGGCTGAAAATCTCTTAAGTGGCTTCTCAATCATTTTAGGGCAAAACTCAACTCCTTGGCAAACTCCCTAGTTGTGTAATCTTGGGCAAGTTACTTCTTAGAGCTTCAATTTCCTCTTCCATAAGCAATGGGTAATTATAATAGGATTGACTTCAAGGGTTGTTGGGAGAATTAAGAATTAATACATGTGATATGCTAGAAAAGTGCCTGGCATCTCGTGAGCACTGTATAGATATCACTATGAGTGGGTAATATGCCACCCAAGGCGAGCCTCCCTCTGACCCTCCTGTGTCAGCTCCCCAGCTTCCTTCACAGTAGGCCCCAGAACCCACTTAAATCCCAGTCCCAGGCCAGCCTGTGGGACAATTAATGGAAGCATGGGTTAGCATTCCTACAACTTAAAGGTTTCTGAAATCAAATTTTGAAAATGAATGGTTTGGGGAGGAAAGCACTAAGTGAACTTTCATACCAAGTTAACAAAAGCAGAGTTCCCTTTTAATTCTAGTCCCATCAGCATTAGCTGTTTTGGCAGAGTGATTTTAAATGATCATGAACTGTAGTCTCAAAAAAGATCGTACGCATTTGCAATCATGGGCCTTTACATTAAGGCTAGTTGATAGCAGGAAGGCAGCAAGATACTGGGTAAAAAGTGTGGGATATGGAGCGAAAAAGACCTGGCTTTCAACCCATCTTTGCCATGGACAGTTCATGTGACCTTGAGAAGTTGTTTATTTCCCTGGGCCTTAGTTTCTTAATTTTTACAATGTACATAATAACAACTACTTTGTAATGTTGTGAGAGTTCGCAGCAGCATGTACCTCCAACACTTAGAACACCAGCTCGTAAGCAGGTGCTCAATAAAAATCTGTTGAGTGGATGAAATGAATTTGAGATAACTTATGGTTGACCTCCCATAGAGCCTGGTGCACCATGGAAACAAGAGCTTTCAGCTATCAAAACTCTACAAAGCACTAGAAGCAAATAAGTTTCCCTAAACTAATCTAGTAATGGAATAAAAATAAATGTGTCTGAAAGAAAGAGATTGTTTGTTTGCTTATTGTGAAACCAATCCCAATTCTCACTGCGGTCATTTAAAAGACCAGAGGGGGAGAAAGTATCTTTTAGATAATCTTTAAACGTGGTTAAGAAAAGGGACTTTACCCTAATCTTCCTCATGCTTTCTGGCTGACAAGTTTAGGCTAGCTGGAATCTCTGGTGAGTATGTGAAGTTCAGGCCACTGGTACATCAAAATTGCATCACATTTGCAAATCTTGTGTAAATTCACAATGGTCCATTGTCTTCTCTGCCCCAGGGCACGGAGGATTGTCTGGAAAAGGTTAGTTGTTGCCATTAGGGAACCTCGTGCAGCCAAGACTACAGTGCAATGTGAAGCAGAAATAAACCCTGGGCTCTCCGCACGTTTGCCAAGCAGTTCACAAATGTGTTTACTTAAGAGGTAAGCATAACACATAATCTTGTATAATATTATGTCTAGGAAAGTTCTGTGGCTTTGCTGTGAAATACCCACACCATATTTGAGTAATTGCTTTATATTCACCTAATAGGGTCTTAGGTCAATTTTTAGCTTTATCCAAATGCATTTTGGTAAACTAAACAAATCTTGATTTCTTGATCTTTTACTTATACCCCATTTATCCAGGTCTTTCTCTCTCTTTTTTCTTGATATACCTGAAACTAGTTTTGAATTAAGAGGAACAGCATCACCCTTAGAACCTCTAAATGCAATGTTCGATTGGGCCTTCTCCGGGGAAGCGAATGGAGGGCGAGAAGGACCCATGGAGGGGGGTAATCCTCTTGTACTGTTTTGTATTTCGTGGCACTTTGAGAGGTAGGGAATGTATACCTTTGAAATAGTGAATCCAACGATCATAGATCTAACAAAAGCATCTGATACAGGCTTCAGGCAACTGAATGTCTGAATCTTCTAAGACACATAACATTGACTATTTCTCAACCTGAAGATCTTCAAGGATAGAGGCATCACTGTCTGCCTCAGTAGTCTGACTAGAGGGTTACAATTTTTTTTCTATCTCCAACTGGAACTTCTTTTGTCTTCTAAATGATAAATGGAAACGAATCCATCAGTCTTTTTGTGGCTGACAAATTGATTGGCCCAGATACCCATTCCTAATCACTTTTCCCCTTCTTGCCTACACTATAGCGGCTAGGAAAGTTAACTATTCACCCTCCCAGCTTTCCTTCTCCATAGAAGTGATGATGTGAACATTCAGGCTGATGTCAGTGGTTGGATGTTTGCTGGGGGTTGGGGGGGGGGTGGAGCAGGGTTCTGGATAAGCGTTTGTTTTCCTGATATAGACAGACAAATGAGACACCACTTTTGCTTTCCTCCTGTCTTAAATGCAGATGTGATGCCTGGAGCTATAAGAGCCATCCCGGAGCCATGAAGGAAAGGCCAAGAACATCACACACATTGATCCTACATTTGTGAGCTATTGAACCACTGCCAGCAACCACTAACCTCCAAACTCCTAATAAGAAAAACCCATCTCTGTTCCTTTAAGCCACTGCTGTTGGGTTTTCTATTCTATTTGCAATTGATCTCAATGCTCTCTGAAACGCATCATCTAAAAGACTCCCTGTGGCTGGAGAGTCGTAAATCCATTCCGTTTCTCCAGGCAGGTTCCCTTCTCCGACTGCCCTTTCCTCAGTTCCTCCCTTCCACAATCAAATCAGGCTGGCCCAGGCATTGGTTTCTTTGTTGCTTTTTTCATTCTGGGTTTACCCGTCTCTCTGCCATCTCATCCCTAAACCTGCTCCATCTCTAAACACACACAATTGTCTATAGTCTCTCCTATAGACCCAGCCTTACACAGTTCCCCAGTAAGACACTTTATGTGTAGTTACGTGCAGCCTCGACTTTCCCGTGAGATCTCCTTGTAGCTCCCTTTTCCATTGTTTCTGTAAATGCATTTACACTTGTTACATCACACGTCCTGTTTTGTTGTGTTTTGTTACATGACATGTCCTGTTTTGTTGTGTTTTGTTACATCACATGTCCTGTTTTAGGGGACAATAATAAAGTTAATTCTGTTTTTCTTAGTTCAATATTGGTTTGAAGTATGACGTCAGTGCCCCTTCCTGCTTTAGCTTCTCACAAAACAAATTTTTGAGCTATAAGGCAGTTCACTCGCTTCTCTAAGTCCCCCCGCTAGAGATGCAGAGGAAGGGCAGGAGAAATGCACTGAATGGAATGAAGAAGCCACGTAAACAGCCACTGGTTACTTAAAAATGCTATGTAGCATTAGTTCTTCTATCATTTCAGGTAGCCATAGAGCTTCTATAAATAAAAAGGAGCTTCTGTAAAGCAGTGGTTTTGATTCCAGAACCTTCTTTATAATCACAGCTCCAATGCTAAAGTTTGTTGTTTTTTAATAAGACTCAATTTCTCTTTTGTCAAAGTAAGAAAAATTACTCCTAGAAATTGTATAGTTATTAAATAAAATAAGATGGTTGAATTAGATTACCTTTGAGACTCCTTCTAGCTTCAAATATGTGATTATAATGAACTTTTCAGACTTTTGTTTGATAAAACTCATCTCTCTCAGTGACAAAGTGATATTTTAGGAAACTAAACAAAATGGATTTCCATCTCTTCCTGAGCAATTCTGTCCCAAAGCCATTAGATGGAGCAGAGGAAAGGAGAATTTCACAGTGGGGGGTGGGGGAGTGAGACATTATGGCCCAGAATGGGAAGTGAGAGCCCAAGGAAGGTGAGAAGGGTGTCCCCATGGAAGGTTACCCAGTGTGCAGGGCCGGAATCTAAATGAGGGAGATTGATCAGATAAATAAGTATATTAAGAGTAATGGAAACCATGTGTATTAGTTGGCTTGGGCTGCCATAACTAAATATCATAGACTAAGTAGCTGAAACAACAGAATGTTATATTTTCATGTCTCTGGAGGCTGGAGTCTGAGATCAGCACGTCAGCATGCTCCAGCTCTGGTGGGGGTCTCTTCCTGGCTCCTTTACAGCTGGCTTCTGTGTCTTCACATGGCAAAGAGCTCTGGACTCTGCAGGGCACCAAATCCATCAGGAGGGTCCCACCTCTATGACCTCACCTAAACCTAATCACCTCCCAAAGGCCCGTCTCCAAACATCATCACACTAGGGGTTAGGGCTTCAACATATGGATTTGGGAGGGACACAATTCCATTTACAGTTTACATGTTTCTCACTACCAGAAAAGGGAGGTACAAATTACAAATACATAACAGGAGAAAACTGGAATGTACCTGTGGGGTTGGATTGGAAGTGAGGAAATTGGTATGAACTCATGATTTTTAATATATAGATAGATATAGGACTAAATACAGATGCATGTGTATGTGTAAACATGTGTGTCTGTATTTATATTCACTAGTTCTATCCACTGAGTGTGCCTGGGAGCAGCCCCAATGGCAGAAATGAACACACTTAGGGGCCAGATATTGGCTCCTCCACTACATGGAACCAGGGATCCTTAGAGCAATGGCTAATTCCAGGGCCGGGGCAGGAGAAGTACAACATGAGCCTGAAACACATTTTTGTGCCCAAAACCAAGGAAGTGTTCAAAGAAATGATGGCGTTGTGTAAAAAAAGCACAGAATCACACTCGAATGACTTCCTACTGCCAAATGCAGGATAATTCCAGCATTAAGAGAAATAATGATCTACATATATTTAACAGAGTAAATAAAATGGGAAGCTATGAATCCTTACATTTTCATAAGTAAAGTAAAACTCGGATGAGAAATGGGATATTTGCATAGTTACAGAATACCACCCCACAGAATATTTATTCATTAGAAAGGGGAAAATAGTAACTTTGTCGTGGAGAAGCCTGGCGGATATTATCTTAAGCAATTGGACGGGACAGAGCCTGTAAGGGGACAACCTGGAATCACACACCACCTGTCAGGACGCAAAGAGAACAGAGCACCACCTTTGTGTTGTGCCTGCCAAAGAGGTAGGCCCGAATCAAATCACAGGAGAGCAGCCATAAGTCCAAATTGAGGGATGTTCTACAAAGTAACCGTCCTGTACGCTTCAAAGTGTGTCAGGCTCATGAAAACCAAAGGAAGATTGAAGAGCTGTTTCCAGCAGAAGAAAGGGAAGATGGGCGGTAATGCAGTGCGTGATCGCAGACTGGATCCTTTTGCCAGCAAGCTGAGACATTGATGAGAAAATAAGAGAATCCCAATAGGCTCCGAGGATCAGAGGGCAGCAGTGCAGCAGTGTTCATTCCCTGACCTTGATGGTGGTACCGGGGTCATTTAGGAGAATCCCCGTGATTGTAGGAAAGAATCTACACTAGAGATGGCAGGATGCCGGGTCATCAGGGCAGCACTTACCCTCTCACGGTTCAGAAAGGAAAAGTCCTTTGTACGGTAGATCTAATTTTTCTGTAAATTTGTGATTATTTTGAAATGTAAAAAATTTGAAAATTAAGCATTTTTTATAATGAGCCTAAAACCAAGCCCAATAATTTTAAAAGCAAAATCAACAAGTTTCCATTATCAAAAAGCTGACAGCCCAAACCCATTGAATGCACAACACCGACAGTGAACTGGAGTCAACTATGGTCCTTGGGTGATGATGATGTGTCAGTGGAGGTTCATCAGCTGCAACAAATGTGCCACTCCGGTGGGGGATGTTGATCACGGGGGAGGCTATGCTTGTGTGGGGCCGGGATTATGGACAAATCTCTGTTCTTTGCTCTCAATTTTACTGTGAACCTAAAACTGCTCTAAAACATAGCCTTGAATAAAGAAAAAGAGGACAGCAACCTGTTTGTTGTAGAGTTTGCACAAATATAAACTGAGCTTTATTACCTGACACAAGTATATACTTAGCCTACTTGACAGGCACTTACTAGACACCTACGTAATGCAAGACAAAGTGCTGTAAGGATTTTTAAAAACTAATCTGATGTGGCCTCTGCCTGTAAGGAACTCACAAGGTGGTTGTATATGCATGCCCCTTTATGACTAGCGGACAAAGCACTTCTTTAAGCCTCTCCTTGAAACTACACACGTTAGCAACTAACTGCAGAAAGGAAAGGAAATGGAGCTATGGGTTCAGAGTTGACTTAATAACACAAAAGAGCAGTCACATTCACAGCAAACGGCAGGTTCCTTGAGCCTAACTCTCGTGGCGTACGTTTATATGCATACGATACCTCTTACATCTTTCTGTCTACCACATAGGCTTATATATAGTTGGTTAAATCTCTCTGGTGACTTTTATTTTTTACCTTCACTATGAAATGATGATACACACATTGAAATTAGACTTATCAAATACAGAACTGTTTGGTTTTTTTTAAAGCAACGGATACTTCTATTAGTTCAATTGCCCTTGGAGGGTGAGAGTGTTGTTGAGCCAGGTGGTGACCTCCAAGAGGAACGTGT